AACTGGATCCGAGAATTGTCGACGCGGCGACAAGGCGGAAGAAGCGCGCGGGAGGTGCGCCCATGGAGAAAGAGGACAGGCGGACAAATGTAGATGCGGAGTGCGAAAAGGAGAGGGGCCGGGAGGCCATGGCCAGGGGCGACGCCGTGTGGGGCGGGAACACTGGTCGGATGAACGGAAAGCGCAAGAAACGCGGAGGGGGCGGTGTGTTGAGGTGGGATGACGCGGAGGTGCAGAAAACGCAAGCGGTGGCCGCGGCGTCGAGGGCCGCAGAAGGCAGCGGCGCGGGCGGGGAGGAAGGTGCCCCGGGGGGTTGTGGCGGCCAAGAAAGCAACAGCGTCAAGTGTGCGGAGATGGAGGGAAGGGCTTGCGGAGAACGGGTTGAACGCTGGACAGCGTAGCGTCGTTGAGAAGGTGGCAGATCTCGTGTTGGCGCAAGTGTTCGGGAGGTCCGCGAGCGGCAAGAAAACAAGCCAGAGCGGTTCTGATATGCAGCCCTTCGTGTGGATGTTGCATGGTGGCCCGGGGACTGGGAAGAGCTTCGTCATGGGCAAGATCCGGCAGGAGCTGTTCGAAAAAGAGCCGGGGTGGACGCGCGGCATAGATTTCCAGGCGGCAGCGTTGCAGGCTACAAACGCGTCAGCTCTCGACGGGAATACGATTCACAGTGCATTTGGGCTCGGCGTGAACAAAACGAAAGAGAAGGACGCGGCGGGCGATGCCAACGCAGAGACATAGAAGAAAACGAAGAAAGAGCAAGCAGCGCTGCGCATGTCACAGTGGAAGTGACTGATTGTGGACGAGGTGAGCATGGTCAGCGCGAACTTCATTGCAGAGCTAGACTCACACTTGCGGTCGTGCATGTCAGCTGCAAGCGACACGAAGGTAGGTGAAGACGGCGTCGCCAGGCCCTTCGGGGGCGTGAATGTGCTGTTCTGCTGGGATTTCTATCAAGTGGAGCCGCCATCTGGGACAGCCATTAATGCGCTTCCCACGTCGTATTTGAAAAAAGCGAGGAAATACGCGCCGGGTGCCACAGAGGACCACGGACAGTATATCTTTTGGGGAGCGGGTGGCGATGGCGCAGTGCAGGGAATGACGGAGTTGACGGAGTGCAAGCGCGTGGAAGACCAGGACGATTGGTTTCTTAGAGTGCAGGGCGAGTTTCGCCGAGGAAAGTTGTCTGAACGCACGCGCAATTTCTTGCGTGGCAGACCGACGGATGTTCCGGGGTCGCGGGTGAACGGGGCACCGGCGTGCGGGAAAGCGCGTTGTGTCGAAGACAGAGATGCAATTGCGATGCGCAACGAGTTAGAGTGCGAGGCTTGCAAAAGTGAGCGGGGCAAGAGGAAGCTCGTCGCGACGTCGGCAGAAGACGCGCGGTTTCGGGGGGAGAAATTTGTAGAAGCTGTCGCCATTTATGGGAACCAGGACATTCGTTGCCACGTCGGGAAGCAGAGAGCTGTGCAGTGGGCCAAAGAGCGAGGAGAACAGTTGCTCTGGGTCGCAGCCAGGGACCGCCCTTGCCATGGGGGGGAACAGGGGCGGCCGTGCACGGTGGGGGATAAGGTGCGTTGGTTGGGGTACCACGAGAAGGAGTGTGCAAGCCTGCCCGGGTGGCTGCCACTGGCCAAAGGGATGCCCGTGGCTTTGGGAGATCACTTGGATCGATCAAAGAAGAAGCTCCTGCGGGGGCGTACAGCGACGATCCATGGATGGGCGTTGCACGAGGACGAGGTCACTGGGGATGAAGACGAGGAAGTGTTGTTGCATCTACCGAGAGTGATAGTGTTGAACTTCCATACGAAGGAGTGGCACCTACCAGGGTGGGAGCCAGGGCTGCATCCGATCTTCCCATCGAAAGGGCGGCAATGGTTCTTGGACGGGCATCGGAAACATCCAGTGTTGAATGTGAGGCGCACGCAGTTTATGATAACCCCGTCTTTAGCAGCGACGGCGCACTCTGCGCAGGGCCGGACCATGGCCGCAGTGATAGCTGACCTAGAAAGAGGGCGCGGCGTGAGTTGGATGTCCAGTTACGTTGCCATCGCGCGCGTGCGCAGGCGACAGGGCCTTCTGATTTTCCGGCCTTTTGACAGGGGACCGCACAACGCAGGTGAGATGGAGGGCGCGAAAAAACTGCTGCAGGTGCTACGAGGGAAGATCTTCGATTGGGATGAATGGGAGTCGGAACTAATGCCACGAGACCAGTGCGAGCGCTGCCGGCGGAGGTCGTTGGTAGAGGCTTTCACGAAGTACGAGTCCCAGAGGAAGGACAGACCGGCGTTCTGCAAAGAATGCACGGAGGAGATGAAAAACGCAGGTGCAAAATGGTGCACAACGTGCAGAGGGCGGGCAATGAGAGCAGAGGGTGACGACGCGGCACTGCAAGGTAGCGGTCGGAACGCGGACGCGGCGCTCGAAAACGGGGAGACGAAAAGGATCAGGACAATGTACTGCGCAAAGTGCAGGGATGTCAAGGCGAAGCAGAACTCGCGCACTGGCAGCGCGAAGTGGAACGAGAGTGTTGGAACAGTGCGGTTTTCGAACGATAAGTGCCTGTCGCTGTATGACGACAAGGCGGAGATGTCGGAATCTCAGAAAAAGCAGAACGCAGCGGGCCAGAGGTTGTATCGGAAATGTGCGGGAGAACGTCAGAGGGCGACGCTTGCGTCGAATAATAAAAAACGCGTGGTCACATTGCGGCGTTCCAACGGCGGCTGCCTGTCGGAGTTCCAAGAGGGGGCGGGGATGTCCGAAGCTCAGAAGAAGCACAATGCTGCGGGCAGAAGACTCTGTCGGAAACGCGCGGAAGAACGAGAGAAAGAGGCACGACGGGGGAATGCGGAGGCAGCGAATTGCAAACGGAAAGCCGAGGCGGACGCGAAGGCACTGACGTGCGCGGCGTGCGGTGGAGCGTTCTCATACACGAGACACTTGAAGCCGACGCAAGTGGAACATCATAGACAGGCGAAAGGAACCAAAGTGGTGTGCAGAGGCTGCGAGGAACTCGGGTTCAACGCGCGCAGTTACCAAGGGTATCAGTGCACCGGCGCATGCAAGAGAAGACTTCCGAAGCCGGCGTTCCCCGACCCGCACAATGTCCCGCGCGACGCAAAGAAGGGCACTCTGAAGTGCAAGACATGCACATGATGCCCAATCGGGCGCGCGTGCTGGGGAGAAAAAGGAGGACGGGGAGAGAAGGATGGGGGGTGAGGCGGAGAATGGGGGGGAGAAGCATCGAAGAGGATGAGGTGAACTGGGGCAGGAAGAGGAGGAGGGGGACGACGAGGAGGTGGCGGAGGAGGAAGAGGAGGGGGGGCACTGATATCAGACTCTGGGTTATGGGATGTGGGGTAGAGGCTTGTGGTATGTGTATGGGGAAGGAGGAGGCAAGGGAGGAGCAGGAGGGGGGCACGGAGACAAGGTGCCGGGTCATGGGTTATGAGTTAGAGGCTTCAAGTATGTGTATAGGGATCTCGCGGCACGCCTCTCGGGGGCTCGAGGAGTGCAGTTTTGAAGCCACTGAGGGGCCGTTTCGGGGCCTCCTTGGGGGACTTCCACGAAGGCGCTGCAGCGCGTCGGGCAGCGCGCGAATGCTGTGGACAGTGGGGAGGAACAAAGCAGGAGACGGAGATGGCGGGGGAGGAGGAGGAGGAGGAGGAGGAGGAGGAAAAGAAGGGGTAGGAGGAAGAGGAGGACGAGGACAAGTGAGGATCTTGTCGTGGATTCTGAGAAGGATATTTGTCGAATGGCCCGAGGCGCGCCCCGCGAATCCCGCTGCCGTGCCGGGGTTCGTGCTGGGATCTCGTGGTCGGCCTCTCGGATACCTCAAGTGGTACCGACCAAGTACCACGCGATGTACGTCGTCCGTGTGCCTCAAATGGTACCGCCCATAGTTTTGAGGCCCTTGAGGGGCTATTTTGGGTCTCTTGGGTGCCTCTTTTGGGCCTCTTGGGGCCTGCTTGGGGCCTTTGGGGGGCTTTTTGGGGGCCTCTTGGGGGACCTCTTGGGGCTTCCTGGGGGCGCCTGGGGGCCGAAGCCTCGAAATGAGATGTGTTTCCCCCCTCTTGGCCCCCTCTTGGGCCCGTCTTGGGGCCCTCTTGGGGCGTCTTCGGCGCCTCTAGGGCCGTTTTGGGGCCATCTTGGGCCGTCTTGGGGCCATCTTGGGGGCCTCTGGAACCGCTTCGGGGCGGTATTCAGGGCCTCGGGGGCCCTTTTGGAGCGTCGGGAAGCCGAAAAAACGAAACGGCAACAAACACTTTAAACCATAATGGGAAAGCACCAGTTTTAACATGTCGGGGCCCTCTTGGGAGGCTTATGTGGGACCTCCGGGGCCGTGTTGGAGGCCTCGGGGCCCGACTTGAGGCCATCTTGGGCGTTTTCGAACGCCCAATTGGCGTCTCGGGGGCCTCGTGGCCCGTCTTGGAGGCCATTTGGGGCCTTTTTGGCCCGTCTTGGGGCCCTCTTGGGCCCGAAAATGCTCCGTGAGTCGCTCGTGCCGGGCCCGGGGGGGGCCATCAGGGGGGGGTCAAATCGCCGGCTTGGGGGTCCCAGGGGGGGACTGGAGGGGGGGGAACTATCTCACACGCCTAGAGACCCACAAGGGGTCGGCGGATTTCCTTCTCACATGGCGCTGCCCATGTTCTATGTTTGTTCCTCCCCGTCTTCCCCCCCCCTCTCTCGCTCGCACGCTCTCCCTCTCCGTCTCCCTGTCTGCCTCGTTGTCTCCCTCCCCCTTCTTCCGCTCTGCCCCCCTTCCCTCCGCACTCCCCCCGTTCACCCATTTCTCATCTCGTTCGGCCTCTCTCTCTCACTCCCTCTCCCTCTCCCCCCTTTCTCGCTCCCTCGCCCTCCCTCTCTCTCTCCCTCTCCCTCTCCCTTTCCCCCCTTTCTCGCTCCCTCGCCCTCCCTCCCTCCCCCCCTCTTCCTGTTCCTCTCGCTCCTGGTCCGCCTCCGTGCCCCGCCTCCTCTCCGAGGGGTCCTCCTGGGGCCGCGAGGAGCCGCCCTCGCGGCCCTGGCGATCGGAGCCGCGGCGGCGATGTGAGGCCTGGCCCGAGGAGGAGGGCTCGGGGAGAGGTCGACGAGGAGGCGCAGGGGAGGCAAGTTTGTTAATTCAAAAAACGTGTTCGGATTCAAAACACAGCTTCTGAATTCCAGACGCGTGTTCTGGAATTCGACAGTCAAGCTCGGAGGAGGCAAGGTTGTGCGAATGCGAGAACCAGTTCTCGAATTCTGAAAACCAGTTTTTTGATTGAAGTCAGGATTCAAGAGCAAGTTTTGGGAATTCAAAGGGGAGGTACAGGTACCCATGCAGTGCAGACCCATGCCAAGGGACACCCTGCTTGCCTCCAGGGCGCCCCAGGTTTCTTGGTTCTCGAATGTCTCGCTATGGAGGGCGGGAGTTACCACGCCAAACATCCATGGACGTTCTGGGGTCTCGGGGTTGGATTTTGTGTGGAAGGTTCCTTGTGGACTGGCCTCCCCTGCACCGCGGCTACCGCTCTGACGTGTTCCCCTTCGTGGGCCTCCCGGGAGGCCCTCGTCGCCACGGCCGGAGATTCGCCCCGAAAGTGCTGGCCAGGGCGCAACCCCGGGAGAGGTCCGGGGCGTAGCGGCATCGGTGTCTCGGGTGCTGCTAGAAGTGCCCCTGGCCCAAAGGTGCCCCCACCTTTTGTTGTTGTTGCTGTTTCTTCTTCCTGTTTTTCCCCCAAAAGAAAAACATCCATATAAATAGCGATAATAATACGAATACTAATAATAGCAATAGCCTGGGAGTCTCGTGGCCCTCGGGAGGGGTGCTCCAGAGGCCATGGGGGCCTCCTTGGAGATCATGGGGGCATTTTGGGCCAGGGGCACTTCTAGCAGCACCCGGGTACCGGTCGGGTATAGCCAGGACCCCGGGTAAGGAGACCCGGTTAGTGGTAGGGCCCTGGGGCCCCTCAATTGGCCAGATTCACCAAACCACGTTTGCCGTAACTGGTGATTTTCGGGTGACGGCAGTTCTGGTTGGCGGAACGGGGCGGGGGAGGCGCCACCTGGTACACATCACTAAACCAGGTTCGACTAAACCCAGTTCTGCCAACGCCCGAACCAGTTTCGCAGGCCTAGAGGTTGACACCTTCACCAAGATCGGCGGTGTGCCTCCACCGAGGGAAGACGATCCCTATCTCGGTGATGGTGGTAATATTCCGGCTTCTAAGGTGACCGAAATATTACCACCAACACCGAAATCTAGGATCATCTTCCCCATGTGGAGGCCACCCCCTGTGCTGGTGTTGGTGCCCATTTCCAGGCCTCCAACAGTTGTCGGTGGCAAACACGGGGGGGAAGTGAGAAGGGGCGGGCCTTCCGAAGGATCGGCAGTCCCCTGGCCGCCGCCAAGGTCCAAGCCCCTCCCGAAGACGCAGCAAGCTCCTCGGAGGGCGCGATGGCTTCCGAGAAGTTCCGCCGCCCTCCGAGGAGGCCTTCCCTTTCTCCACTTTTCCCCCCTCGCTCACCGCCGACTTGGGTCTCCCAGGAGGAGGAGGAGGAGGAGGAGGAGGAGGAGGAGGAGGAGGAGGAGGGGGAGGAGGAGGAGGAGGAAAAGGAGGAGGAGGAAAAGGAGGAGGAGGAGGAGGAAAAGGAGGAGGAGGCGGTGGTGGAGGAGAAGGAGGAGGAGGAGGAGGAGGAGGAGGAGGAGGAGGGGGTGCAGGACCGGGGGCCCGGGGCGCACGGCGGGGAGCCCTCGGAGAGCACAGGGGGGAGCGCCGCCGCTCGGAGCGGGCCCGTCGCGCTGGAGGGCTGGCACTTGGCTGCAAGGAGAGCGCATGGGGCCCAGGGCCAAGGGGGGCGAGCGCACAGGCGGGGATGGTGGAGGAGGAGGAGGATGGAGGAGGAGGAGAGAGGAGGGAGGAGGAGGAGGAGGAGGAGGAGGAGGAGGAGGAGGAGGAGGAGGAGGAGGAGGAGGAGGAGGGGAGGAAAAGGGGGGGAGATGAGGAAGGGGGAGGAGGAGGAGGAGGAGGAGGAGGAGAGGAGGAGGAGGAGGAGGAGGAGGAGGAGGAGGAGGAGGAGGAGGAGGAGGAAGAAGGGGGGGAGGAGGAGGAAGGGGGGGGAGGCGGAGGAGGAGGAGGAGGAGGAGGAGGGAGGAGGAGGAGGAGGAGGGGAGGAGGGGAGGAGGATAGGAGGAGGATAGGAGGAGGAGGAGAGGAGAGGAAGAGGAGGAGGAGGAGGAGGAGGAGGAGGAGGAGAGGAGGATAGGAGGAGGAAGCAGGGGGGAGGAGGGTTGAGGTGGAAGAAGAGGCGGAAGATGGGGAGGAGGTGGAAGAAGGATAGGAGGAGGGAGGGAAGAAGAGGCGGAAGATGAGGAGGAGGAGGTGGAGGACGAGGGGAGGAAAGGGAAGAGGAGGAGGAGAAGGAAGGAGGAGGAGAAGGAGGTGGAGGAGGAGGAGGAGGAGGAGGAGGAGCGTCCCCCCCCCATGGGGGGGTCCTTTGCAATCTTCGCGGTTCTATTTCATTTTCCGCACAGTGCAGCAGTCTGATCATCCCCCCGGGGGCAGCCGTCATTGGGCGGGGTGGGGGTGGGGGGGGGGAAAGCGGCGTCGGATTTCGACCTTCGTGGCCCCAGTACTAGCGTCAGCGTCAGGAGCTTGAGCAAGGGGAGGAGAAGGAGGAGGAGGAGGAGGAGGGGGAGGAGGAGGAGGAGGAGGAGGAGGAGGAGGAGGGGGAGGAGGAGGACGAGGAGGAGGAGGAGGAGGAGGAGGAGGAAAGGGGGGAGAAGTGGGAGGTGGAAGAGGAGGACGAGGAGGACGTGGAGGAGCAGGAAAGGATGCGTCCCCATCCTCAGGCTCGCGCGACACCCGGTCGCCCGCCCTCTACTGCCACGTGGCCCGGGCCTTCGGCGCGCCCAGGGGTACGCTCGAGGAGGAGGAGGAGGAGGAGGAGGGCGAAGGAGGAGGAGGAGGAGGAGGAGGGCGAAGGAGGGGGAGGAGGGGAGGAGAGGATGAGGAGGAGGAGGAGGAAGGAGGAGGAGGAGGAGGAGAAGGAGGAGGAGGGCGAAGGAGGCGGAAGGAGGAGGAGGAGGAGGAGGAGGGCGGAGGAGGGAGGAGGAGGAGGAGGAGGAGGAGGAGGAGGAGTCTAGGCCCCTAGATTGGGTCGGAGTAGATGGGGGTCGGAGGATCGCGCTGCATCGCCGATGCATCGGCGATGCATCGGCGATGCGTCTCGATGCGGGGCCCAATCTTCTACACGCCAAGGTCGCCGATGCATCGCCGACGTCGCCAGTGCATGGCCGATGCATCGCCGATTCATCGGCGATTCCTTGCCGATGCATCGGCGATGCGGCGAGATCCTCCGACCCCATCTATTCGGACCCCATCTAGGAGGCCTCTAAGGAGGAGGAGGAGGAGGAGGAGGAGGAGGAGGAGGAGGAAGAGGAGGTCGGGGTGGATGCTCAGGCACCTCGCACGGTCGCGGCGGCGCGGCGGCCGAACGTCGAGCGGCCGCGCGGCAGTAGCGCGGCCTCGCCTGCGCGGAGCGCCCGCCTCGCGGCGCGCTGCCCCCTCGGAGAGGAA